AAATTTTTTTTTTTTTCAAATTTATTTTTAATTACTCATTTTTATAATAAAATATTTTATACGTGTGAGTTTAAATTTATTTTTGTTTTTTAATTATAAATTCTTTGAAAATATATTATTATTTCAAAATTTATTTTTATCGAAAAATTCTTCTTTAATGATAATGAAAGATGGGGCTAACATTATAATCGGTTGATATGTGGTCTAAGGCATAAATGCTTAATATAATTATTCTACACAATTGTTGTCTTAACCAATGTTACAATATTGGGTCGAGAGTATTTTCAGTGGATGAGAAATGGTTCAAGACTGTTTTAAGGATCATAGGATGGTTGAAGACTACTCTAAAAGATGATGGGGTTCTTCTATCCAGAATTTTTATTAGTAAATTTTATTAAGAAATAATTTTTTAGTAGGTTTTTGTAAAAAATAATTAAACGTATGATTGAAAAGTTGTAAATTTTATAAAATTTATAGTCGAAAATGATTTTGAAGAATTGAGTTATAAAAAAGGGGCTAAACAGGGGTTTTAAACAAGAATTAAAAAGGATTTTTAGTTTCTATACATTAACTTTTTCTAAAGAAGCTGGTGTTTGATATATAAGTTTCTTGAAAGCTACTAGATAAGGTCGAAAATCGAATGCAAGATCATGATCGAGTTAAGCTTATACCACAAAACATGAAGCTCTTGAGCACTTGAATATTGTGTATCCAACTCGTTTTACAAATGCAACAATTTCAATCATTTTCATTATAATAAGGGTAATTAGCACAAAACGTCCATAACTTTCATTGTTATTGTGGAAAATGTTTATACCTTTCATTTTTTTTTTTTTACATTTTCACCCTTATTTCCACCTTTTATTGTGCAAAATGTCATTTTTATTCATTTTCTCAATTAAAAATTGTGAAATGGCGAAAATACCCATCCTTTTAAATAAAACAAAAGGAAAAAGAAAAACACTAATTGCAAATATAATCCCAGCTTTTTCATTTTCATTATAATAAGGGTAATTAGCACAAAACGTCCACAACTTTTATTGTTATTGTGGAAAA